CGCTCAGCCTGGCGTTGCTAGTGCCAGTCAAGGAACTGAACGTGCGATTCCGCGACAGGCTACCCACTCCGATCCCAGGAGAAGTTGTCATGGTGAGGGCCGCCCTAGGTCTCTGCCCCCTGCTGTGTCCTCATCTTACCCATCTAGTAGGATCTAGAGGCTGTCGCCCCCTTGTGGAATGCACAGATGTCACAAGCGAGACTTCCCGTTGACGTTTGTACTTTTCCGGGCATGCTCCAGAGCAACTGACCCACCACAAATGCCCACCTGTACTGTCCCACTTCCCGGGTCCAGCTGTCCCCAGGCCTCTTTGAACGTCTCCTTCCTTTCTATCCCACGCTTTCTTCTCTCCACGGGCCTCTCTAATTCGCTGTATCTTCCTTTCATAACTGTCTTCCTGTGTAAATAAACGTCGGTGCTTTCCACAGGTAACTCAGGCTTAGGATGGCTCAGGTGGCTCAACTGAGTCTTCTGTGTTCGTCATTCCCAAAGGACCTTAGGTCCTCTCTATCTCTTCAGGCAAATACCATGCCCCTTCCTTCACCGTAGGTAAGATGTGGTTGTTAGGCATCCATTCCAGACATCTGGGCCCCCACCAGCTGAGACCACCCAGACCCACACTGGGGTTCTCTCTCAGTCTTTTCTAGACATGGCCAAAATCGCTTTCTAGGCCCTAATGTGTTATTTTCCTTAGGTGCTTCTGGCCTCCGTGCTGTGCTTTGCTTCTTCCCTGGACACAAGATACAATGTCCAGGTGGTAGGTCTACTGCCTGCAGGGTAAGACAGGGAAAGACACTTCCTCCCCCCCCCCCCCGCCACCTCTCCCACAGATGGCCTCCCTTGTCCTGCCCAGTCCTAGTCCATCATTCTGCTGTTTCCCTGTAGCACCAACCCATCCTTACCATGGATCTTCCCCTCTCTAGATTTCCCCAACCCGTCTTCCCCACCCTGGATGAGCTGCCCAGGATACTGGCCGACTCACTGCCCATTGCACTGGTTACATTTGCCGTGTCCACCTCCCTGGCCTCCATCTATGCGGACAAGTATGGCTACACTATTGACCCCAACCAGGTGTGACTCTGACTGTGGGTGCCAGCCAGCCTTTCCCAGACGTGACCCCTTAGCCTCACTCCCCCATGCCTCTGTCTTTCTTCTCACCATACCGCATCCTTCTAGGAGCTCCTGGCCCATGGTGTCTCCAACCTCATTTCTTCTCTCTTCTCTTGCTTTCCCAACTCCGCCACACTGGCTACAACCAGCTTATTAGTGGATGCTGGTGGGAACACACAGGTAAGAGGGAGCCCTTGGGTGAGGAGAAAAGGTGGGATACTTGGGCCGGGGTGGCAGCAGAGAGGGGGGACAGGCGGATACCCCGATAGGATGGGAGTGAGAGAAGGGATTATAAGGAAGAAGACTAGACAATGATGAAACTCACAGGGGCCTCTGTAGGCTGTAAGCACCCGACGAAAGCTGTGGTGCCTCAGATTAACTAAAGATATAAATAACATGCCCACCGGTGGTGGCACATGCCTTTAGTGGGAGTTCTAGGCCAGCCTGGTCTGCAGCTGTTACACAGAGGAAACCCTGTCTCAAAAAGCCCAATATATGGTTTGGAGAGATGGCTCAGGGGTTCAGAGCACTGGCTGTTCTTCCAGAGGTCCTGAGTTCAATTCCCAACAGCCACATGGTGGTTCACAACCATCTGTAATGAGATCTGGCTCCCTCTTCTGGTGTGCAGGCATACATGCAGGCAAAACATTATATATGTATGTGTGTATGTATGTATGTATATATAATAAACCTTTTAAAAACATATCTAAAGTAGCTGAATGTTGTATTACATACATACTCAGAACCCTAGAAACTAGGAAGGCTGACTGAAGCAGGGTATCTGGGGCTCACGGTTGTCTGGGGTACAAGGAGACTTTGTTTCAAAACAAAACTGCTGTGCTGGGGAGAGGGCTCCACAGAAAATTCGCTTGCTGCACAAGTGTGAGGACACAAGCTGTAACTCCCAGCTCTGTGGGCGTGGCAGCCCGTTCTGAAGACAGAGATGGGGATGGGTGGCCTGAAACAGCAGGGTCCAACTGAGAGACCCTGCCTCAGTGTGACAGAGGAGTGTGACAAAGACTCCCAGTGTCAACTTCTACAAGAACCAGGACACAGGTGTGTTGTCCCTGCACACACACACACACACACACACACACACACACACACACACACACACCGATAAATAATGTAGGAGATAAAATTCTATTATTTTTCCATGAGGACCTCTAAAAGAAAAAATATTGCATGCCACTCTTCCCCAATCCCCCCCCCCTTACTTTGTTGGTGCCCTAAGCAGATGGCTTCTCAAGTCTTAGCAACAACAGGACCTTTTAAAGATGGAGGTGGGCTACAATAGCAAGGTTGAACTGCCTACATCTGGGAGAGGTGGGCAGATGGTAGGCAGGGGAGGGGCTGGCAGAACCTCAGGAAGGGGGTGAGCAGGGCGTGTATGTGTGGATGGAGGTGGGAGACTTCTGAAGGAGAAGAGGCAGCCTGGGCAGAGAGACCAGATCCCACACAGGCTCTCCATCCTCCCTCCTCTGTCTTCCCTGCAGCTGGCCGGTCTCTTCTCCTGCATTGTTGTCCTGTTGGTGCTGCTGTGGCTGGGACCCTTCTTCTACTATTTGCCCAAGGTAGGGAGGGAGGAGAGGCGCTGTGTGCTTGATGGAACTGGCTGGGTTCCAGAGCCTTTGGACAAAGGCCTGCCTATTCTTCTCTGTCTCAAGGCTGTCCTGGCTTGTATCAACATCTCCAGCATGCGCCAGATGTTCTTCCAGATGCAGGAGCTGCCGCAGCTATGGCACATCAGCCGTGTGGACTTTGTGAGAAATGGCAACCCCTGCTTCTGCCCTGGCCCGAAGCTGATCACTCTGGCCCTCCAACACACAGATCACACATGTGTCAGAGCAAAGGAAGGGGCTGGGATTTGAGTTCATGGGACCTGAGTGTTTGGTTGAGGGCATGTTTTGGTGGTTGTGAAGATTGAACCCATGGATAGTAGCAGAGTTCCCTACCCTCTACCATGTTTCCCTTCTCCTGGATCATCCTTTCTCATTTTTGTCCTTGAACCTGTGTTGATCCATGTCCTTCAGGCCGTGTGGATGGTCACGTGGGTGGCAGTAGTGACCCTGAATGTGGACCTGGGCCTGGCTGTGGGAGTAATTGTCTCTATGATGACAGTGGTCTGCCGAACTCAGAGGTGAGTGCAGAGATGGGTGGGGTTGAAATGAGAGGAGGGAGATACTCTGGGGGTGACTACAGCCAGGACAGGTTAGGCTGGGAATCTGAACCCAGTTTCTTCTCTAGGGTGCAGTGCCTGGCACTTGGATTGGCTGAGGGGACCGAGCTCTACAGGCCACTCAGAGAGAGCCCTAAGGTGGGTGGGCAGCAGCCGAAGGAGAAGAAGGGATTCTACAGGGCGTCTCTGACTCTCTTACCCTTCAGCTCCTCCAGGCTCCAGGTCTCTGTATTCTGAGCTACCCATCACCACTCTACTTTGCAACCCGTGGGCAGTTCCGCCACACGGTGGAGGGGCATCTGGGGCTTGGAGGAAGAAGCAAGGTGAGGATTTTGATTAAGAAGGAGCGTGGACCTTCTGGGATTGGGAGGTCATGTGTTCTCAGAGTGCAAGCCAGTGCCTGTGATTTGGAGGTGGTGACATTTTTTTTTTCTCTGTTTATGGCAGTCTCCAAAGCTGGGTGGTCTACCTGACAGAGGTGAGAGATGACGACAAAGAGGGAGATTTGGTCGTGAACCATGGAGGCGTCTGGGTACTCCTTCCTTCTTCCATCTTAGGTGCGGAGCCTATCAGAGTGGTTGTCCTGGACTTCGGTGGCATCGCCTTTGCAGATGCTGCAGGGGCCAGGGAAGTCATACAGGTGAGGTGAGGGAGTAGGGAAGCTAAGAAGAAACTCGTCATCCCACTCACACCCCTGATTTGGACTTTAACCCCTCTGTCTGGTTCCTGCAGCTCACCAGGCGATGCCAGGATGCTGGGATCTGTCTCCTCCTAGCTCAGTGTAATGGTGTGTGGTGTGAAGAATAGAGGGACGGACGGGGTGGGGGAGTGGAGAGGAGGGGACTGACGGAACACTTGCTGGGAAGGAAGAAGATACTGGATGGATTTGGGGTCCCAGCACCTGATACCTTTCCCACACAGCCTTGGTGCTGGAGACCTTGACCCGGGCAGGACTTCTGGATAGAATGACCCCGGAACAACTCTTTGTGAGTGTCCAGGACGCAGCCGCACATGCGCTGGAGAGACTGGTGAGGGCAGGGGCCAGGAGCTTCTGGGCTAGAGTAGAGAGGACTGGCTGAGTAGATAGGAATCTGGGAAGAGGGATTTGGAGAAAGGACTAAGGAAGATCAAGAGGAAAGCAGGGAGAAACTGACTAGTCCATTGAAGGGCCAGGGGTGGAGGTGGGCACACCCTTAATCCACCACACATGGGAGGCAGAGACAGGAGGATTTCTAAGAGTTTGAGGCCAGTCTGGTCTACATAGTCCCAAAACATCCAGGGATACACAGAAAGACCGTGTCTTGAAAAAACCAAAACAAACAAGTTAGGGAGTGTGGAACATCCTTCACCAATGTTGAAGAACTGCATAAGGTCTCCAAAGGGTCGATATGCTCCCAGAGTACTGAGTCCCAGAGATGGATGGTGGTAACCTACTATTCCTGAACTGTCCATTTTCTTCCCCAGAAGCCCACTGACCCAAAGATTTGCACAGTGTGGGTCTGATCAAGGTTACTTGGAGTGTGAGAGGCCCCAACAGAATGTGTGTGAGGAAGACTACTGCCCTTGAGCCCCCCTCTCCCAATGCAACCAATAAAATGAAGCCAAGAGTATCTGCAGCCCATGCACTGTGTCTTGGCGTGTACATGTGGACCTCTCCAGTTCTCCCCCTCCCCCAAGCCCCACCAAAGTACTGCAGAGACACAAGTAAAAATGTTTGTCACCGTGTGTTCACCAGCTTCACACAACTCCAGGCACAGTGCTTTCTACGACGTATGTTGAAGCCAGTGCACATGGTGCTGGATCCGGAGCTGGGGTGGGGTTGTGTGTCCCTGGGGTTGCACATTGGGAGTTTCCCTGCCCCCTCAGGAGTTTCCACTTGAGGGTCTTAAGAGTCCTTCTGGGCTCTTTGGCACTTGGAAAGTGAATCCCCCCATTTCCTGCCCCATGGGAATGGGGTTGGGGGAGGACTTGGCACTGGCTGTGTGTGTGTGTGTGTGGGGGGGGTTATGGCTCCAACAGGCCTCTGGTCACTCACAAAAAGGCTTGTCACCAGGACAAGCCCCTGTTAGGGGTCAGGTCCGTGGAAAGAGAGTGTCAGGGGTTGGAGGGGTTGCTGGAAATTTCCTGGCAGGGGCAAGGAGGCAGGCCCAGCCTGACTGACAGTGGGAAGGCCCCAGTCCGCCATCACTCAGCGGTCATGCACTGTAGCCGGTGTTTGAAGAAGAGCAGACGATGTTTGGCCACATGGCTTTGGTCCAGAGACCCCGGGTAACGGTAGCGGGCGTAAGTTTCAGCCCCCGCATCCTTAGATGTCCACGGCAGCTTCACCTTCGACGCATGATCCACAACCACATCCGAGCAGGAGCCGACACGAAGGGAACCAAGGCCATCCAGGAAGAATTCTGGGGTGAGGGTGGGGAGGGCACAGGGTTAGGTTAAGTCTCCCAGGGGGTGGAAAAGGCTGGTTCCTAGGAGAACTGAGATCTAGGGCTCAGATGGGCGGCTGTGCAAAACACAAAAACAACAAAACTCTGCTGCTAAGGACACTTTAGCGTCTATTTAAGTCTTGTGTAAAGTGGGGTTCATTTCAATAAACACTGGATTCACTCCTCTGAGTAGGTCTGAACCTGGGGTAGCCCCTGGCAGTAAGGGTGACCTTGGCAGTGGAGGGAAGGTTCAAGGCCGACTTTGACCTGTCTGAGCAGTCGGGCAGAAGAAAATGGAGGGTCCTTTCCTTTCCTTATTTTTTTTTCAGCTCAGGTGCAGATCTGGGTAACCCCCCCCTCCCCAACTGCTTGAGCATCTACCGGGAATGGGGGCGGTCGGTGGGTGCTGCTTGATGCACCGCCCAGGGCTGCACCGGGTCCTTCCCAGACATTGCCGGCAGGGGGCGCCACTCACCCAGATGTGCCACCCGATTGAGGCGCGGGTCAAATCCCACCTCGCGCACTTTGTCTGTGCGCGCCAGGAAGAAGTTGACTACGCCGTCCGTGACCACGCAGTTTGGGAAGCCAGCCAGCTCGTGGTGGAAACCGCGCTTTTGCCGGAGGCAGTCTCCAAGGCCTGGGGCGCCCGGCTCCACACTCAGCAGCTGCCGGTAGGTGGTAGAGAAGCCCGAGATCTCCCGCACGGCGCCCCCAACCTGCGGGGGAGTGAGAGCATGCTCGGGTTAAGACGCCGAGGAGTGGGGGAGCCTCCTATCGGTGCCCCCGGCCGCACCCTCGCCCTGCAGGCTTCAGCCCCACAGGACCCAGAGCTACCCACTCGCTCCACCCGAGGGCGCACGGCTCTCCCACCCCACATCCCGCGCCCCTCCCTACCAGGTCCAGGACCGTCCTCTCCAGCACGTCCACAAGCTTCTCCAGCCTCGTGCGCGCCGTGAAGACAAAGTCGTCGTCCACCCACAGCACGTATTTGGTGGTTACCTGGGACACCGCCAGGTTGCGACCTGCGAACCAACCCTGGGAGAGTTGTATTATGGTTGGGGAGCTGTAAGAGCAGGACAACTGTCTGTGTTCCTCTACCTTGACCCTCGAAACAGCCCAGCACCTCTCTGGGCTTCTGAGTGCTTTCGGGTGACCGGAAACTAGGTTTAAAAACAAAACCCGCAGCTTATCACCCTCTTTCTAAAGGTCTTGGATCTTTTGGGGAAGGGTCTTGAAATGCGTTTAATTCCTGCGTGCATCCAGCAATTCGCTCTATGATTGATTGTAGGCATTAAGCCCCATTTCAAGGATGCAGAACGAGTAAGATATGCAAGATTCAGGAATCCCAGGATCCATTACAATAGGCACGCGCTTGCTTCGGAGGCAAGCTGCAGACTGAGGGCACGCCCCCTTCCCAGAGTCCTCTGGTGCCTGGGTTCAGCTGGGCAGGCAGCGCACCTTGCCGAAGGGCATAAAATAGTGTTCCACGTGGGGGTCGTTAATACGTTCCGGTTTGTCGCTGTCGTCAGCGATGACTATGGTGATCGTGGGATAAAAGCGTCGGATGCTGGCAATGAGTGACCGTAGCCGATCATAACGAAGAAAGGTCTTGGTGGCGATGGTAACCAGGGTACTGATGTTGTACTGTGCTGAAAGCAAGATGCAGGGTTGGATTCAGAAAGGGAAGGAAAAAATAAAATAAAAGGGAAAGCAGCGCCTCCCAGGGCCAGCCCCCTCTTTACTTCCCTAGTCCCTCGAGCGAGTCTCACCTCCCTGGGGTAGAGATGAAGGTGGGTACAGCCGTGGGTGGGGCGGATGTCTTACATGGATGGTGAAGGTAGCCTCGTGCCCCTTGGTGGAGAACCGGACTGGGAAGAAAGGACGTGGAGTTGGCCCGTTTTCTTTTTAGAGGACCGAAATTTAAATCCCTACTCTGCATCCGGACCTTGGTGGGCAAGGACGTATAGTTCTGATGTCTGATGCCTGTGGGACTCACTCTTGTTTTGTGGTGGTGGGAAATGAATTTAGAGCCTAGCAAGCATTCTAGCACCGAGCCTGTATTCCCAGCCCTCTTTTGCTTCCAGAAGAAGACCTTGATCTTCCTGCCTCTGCCCACTGACTGATCACAGGTGTCATTACCTACAGATGTCTCCTATTGAGATGTCAAAGAGGTCTTCGCAATGAAGGGGATGAACCCGTGGTCTCGTGCACACCAGACAAGCGCGTTGCCCACTGGGCTCCATCTCCTACCCAGAAACTCAAAGTTTAGGAGGTGGAACAAAGACAATGGACCTTTCTTTCTTTTTTATTTTTTCCTTTTTGGCTTCTTGAGACTAGGTTCTGCTTGTTATGTAGCCCTGGGTGGTTTGGTAGTTGCATAGCCCAGTCTGGCTTCAACACTGAGGCAATTCTGCCTGCCACAGATCTCTGAGTGCTGGGATCATAGGTAAGCATTACTGTGTGTCTAGATAAGAGCTAACTTTAAAAAGTTAATATTTACTAAGTGTGTGTGTGTGTGTGTGTGTGTGTGTGTGTGTGTGTGTGTGTGTGGCCTTGACTAACCTTGACCTATCTACCTTCCCTAGCACTAAGACAACTGACATGGGCCACTATGCTTTGCTCTGTGCTCTGTGTAAATTGGGTGTGGTGGACACACCTGTAATCCTGGTACTTGGGAGGTAGAAGCTCGAGGACCGGGAATCGAGGTCGGCTGAATAGTGAGTTTGAGGCCAGCCAGAGCTACATGAAATGAGATGACTTCAAAAGCAAAAAAAAAAAAAAAAAATTGAAAATGTGCTCTAAATTGACGAAGCCATTTAATCCTCGTGTTAATCCATTGAATAAATTCCTAGTACAAAGCAAAACTTAGGCACAGAAAAGTAAATGGCCCATACTGTACAAGTAAATAAGAAAAGTCTAGTGTCACAATACTGGCATTGAATTAAAAAATGAGGCAAGGGAAATTGCCTTAAGCAAAGAGGAGACAGTTGGGCACGGATGCAAACATCAGGAAGGAGCCAGCTGTGAACAAATATTGAGGAACATCCCAGGTGGAGAGAGTGGCAGATACAAAGGCCCTAAGGTAGGAGCAAATATGGTTAAAAAACAAAACAAAACAAAACAAAACAAAAAAAATGAGCCTTGGACAAGAGCAGGGCAGAGAAAAAGAGAAAAGGGAGCCTGGCAAGCTGAGTGCTGGGCTAGAAACCTTTTGGGCATTGGAGAGGACCTTCCTAAAAGCTACAACAGTGGGGAGCCTGAGTCCTCCGGCTCCAGGAACAGGTCGTTTCCTGGAGCCACTATGGTGGAATGATGGACAGACATGGGAACACACCCAAGGCTCTGGTTTCGCTCTGGCCTGTTTTGGCCCCAGATAAACAAAGGCTTCTTCTCTCACCCCTGGTCCCACTGGCTGGCCCGCTTGGTACATTCATTGCTTGTCTGGACAATTCTAGCCACTGCCAGAGTACCTTCCACGCCCTCTGTCATTTGCTTTCTTCAGATTGTCTGGGTTCTTTCTGTCCTGTCAGCCCGCCGCTACCCCTGTCCAGGCCTCGCACCTGTGTCTGCCGTGCTGGCCTGGTAGCTTCGGCTGCTGTAAGTGACCAGCTGCAGCTGCCGGTTGAGTCTGTCCAGACCCGGGCTGGCCAGGGTGAGCTCTGTCTGCCCCTCTCCGATGAGAGTCACGCCCGTCACTTCCCCTGCCACATCCCAGGTGCCTAGGGAAGCGCTCAGGTTCACCTGGCAGAGAGGGAGAGAGAGCAGGGTTAGACTGCCTACCCCGCCCCTCCACCTTTGACCCTGGGACCCCCGTGGGTGGGTCTGCCACCCTCAGTGCCCGCCTGGCCTCTGCTGTTGCTCTCACCTGATATACCTCCTGAACAGAAGCTTCCTGCAGACTTAGCCCTGGGAGGAAGAAGGGAGCCAGGGTTACACAGATAGCCCTGCATCTTCCTCATATTCTCCCTTCCCACCATGCACTGCACGGAACTTCATGCCCATCTGTCTCTCCTGTGTGGGCCTAGGACAGCACACCCTAGAAGAAATGTTTCTTTCTTTCTTTCTTTTTTTTTTTTTTCTGAGACAGAAACTGCATTCTCTTCTCCATCAGACTGTCCTGGAACTCGCTCTGTAGACCAGGCTGGCCTCGAACTCACGCAGATCCACCTGTCTCTGACTCCGTCCTGCTGAGATTAAAGGTGTGAGCCCCCATGGCATACATTTTACTTTTAACTCCTTTCCATCAAAGAGACATTTCTTCCATGGCTTGTCCTGCCTATCCTGCTAGACCTTGTTCAGCTTCAAAGAAGGGACTCTTCCTCACAAACTTCCCAGGCTTTCTGCCATTCCCAACAACCCTAGAGTCTCTTCTGTCCCACCTCCTAAATTCCCTTACCAGAGATCTTCACCTACATTCCATGCTCCCCTCCTAATTCCGATCCAGCCTCTGAGGGGCTAAGACCTTCCTTCCCTACCTGGCACCAAGATGCTCCTGAGGGGCTGAACCACCACACCCTGCAGGGGGTACTGTAAGGGGGAGTTGGCAGGAGCTATGAGCAGCTGGTCAGCCAGGGACTGGCTCCTACAGGAGAGGAAAGGATACAGGGGTCAGGAGGAGAGCTCTCTCTGTCCATGGGGTGGCTAACCTGTCCCCCCAGGACTTTCTGACCACCGCTGCCCCCCTGCACAAAACTTCCTGACTGGTACCTTGCAAGGAAGGCCTGGTATTCCTGCTCTCTGGCGACCAAAACAGCCCTGAGCTCCTCGGTATCAAAGGCTTTAGTGAAGTCGACGGCTCGAACCTGTCTCTGGAATGGCAACACAAAGCTGCCTCCTCTGGACTCACAACTGCAATTGTTCTGAGTCAGTAGCCTGAAGCGAGGAGACAGGGTCTTCAGAGTTCAGCTACCCAGGCAGCTTGGATCCCTCGACCCTTCCCATCTGGCACCTTTCCCCTTAAAACGCCGCCGCTCTTCAAATCGCCCCCAAGAGGCTTGCATCCCTTGTATCTGGGCTTTATAGAGGTGTGGAGTGGGCCTTCTATAATCTCGGGTCTAAGTAAAGAAGCAGGCAGTCTCCGGGTACACTCCTGCCTGCACATCCTCCCACACCCCAGTGGCGGTGACAAGGTTCAGTACGACACATTTGCCGCCACTGCCGCCCCCTCTCTCCCAGTTGAAGCCCAGGTAACCCTCTCCGCCTCCGGCTTCACTGCATCCACCAGTCAGCGGGAAAGCCCAGCACTGGAAGAAACAAAATCTCCCGGGCCAGCCCCTCCAGCCGGCTCCACTCTGCGGACACCTCGCGGCCACCAGCACTCACCCCACCACTTGCTCCTTGATCTTGACCGGGATGTGTGCGTAGCGGGGCTCAGGGCCAAGGTCTGGCAGATCGAGCCTCGGGGGACCTTGTGGGGGTGACCACAGCGCCAGAGGGTTAGGGAGAGTGGGTGCGTCTCGGGTGCTGGCATACAGGAGCCCCAGCGAGGCACAGGCGAGCAGCAGGACCAGCGCGCAGAGGGCCCGGCGGCCCAGCCGCATCCTGAGACGGGAGAGGGTGAGAAATAACCAGGGGCTGAGAGAAGGTGCCGGCCGGGGCTTACGATTCCGCTGCCTCGGAGGGCCGCGCAGGTTTCCGAGGCCACCCATCTCGGTTCCGCCTGGCGCACAGCTCATCCCTTCCCTCATGGCCCACGCTGGGGTCTTGGGGCCTCCTTTCTTCCGCCTCTCTGTCACATCTGAGTTTCCGCACACACCCGAGGCCGCGGTATCGTGACACGCCACACCTTGGGCGCCTGGCCCTGGGGGTGCCCACCCCCATCCCCATGGGCATCACCGGGGCCGAGGTGCTGCGGAGGGGCCGCTCTACAGCTAGCCTGGCAGGGAAAGCACGCAATCGCGCCGGTGCCTGCGGGTGCACGGCCGAGGTGACCCTCGGGTGGCCTCGGGGCGCCCCGGGGACGACGCGCAGGGCCGGGTGCACACCGGCAGGGCCAGCGCACTGACCTGTCTAACGCTCTAAGGCCGCGGCAAGATCGCGGTCCGGGCTACGCCCGGCTCTCGGCTCCGGCCGGGGGGTCCTCATGAGGCCGGGGACGGCCTGATGCGGGAGCTGGGCGGGAGCCTGACAGTGCGGGGGATCTGACTCCTCCCGCCTGCCTGCTGACTCCGGGGCTTTGTAGACCGCGGCGTGGGGGTGGCTCTGGATGTTTCCTGCCGGGGAGAACTGCGTCGAAGATCCGCCGCGCCCCAGCCCCAACAACAAAGCCGGGGAGCCCTGGCACCGAGACGCCCTCGCAGGCGGCGGAGGGCTCGGCCCCCGCCCGGCTCGCACACACACCGCAGCAGCGCCGCTCCCGGGGTGGATGCGGCAGAGGCTCCGGCTCTGCGAGGAGAAGGCGAGCGCCGGCGCCTTCTGGCGGGCGCAGGGGAGATTGCTCAGGCGGGCAGCCCTCGCTGGATGGTCGGTCCCTTTCTCTGCCCCGCATCCCTTCGCCCCCAAACCGCCGCGGTATCTCCGTAGCCGGTCACGGTCCCCGCCATTTCCCTATTCGCTCTGCTTGTAGCCTAGGAAAGGCAAGTGATGGCAGGAGGCAGGACCGCGTGCGGTCTCACCTCAGTTCAAGGAAAATTTGAGTGGGTTGTATGGGATTAAGGAAACCTGTCAGCCCTGGAGGTAAGTAAACATTGCCTAAATTAACAAAGACGGTCATCTCAGTTCGCCCCTGTCTCCAAATCCCCAGTATTCAAATGAGGTAAGCCGTTAGTGAGTGGCCTACTTCCTCTAACTGCTCCGTACCGACGTGAAAAAAGAACCATAGGGAATGGTCAGGTGGGAAGTGGTTCTTTCAACAATAGACCATACTCCTGACACTTGCCAGAATTAGCGCCCTGTTTTTCACAGAAGGGTCAAAATTCAACAGAAAAGCAGGTAAAACGTGATGAAAAATGTGTATGGAGGGGGGCATGGGGATTATGAGCGAACTGTGTGCGTCTGCTGGGGAAAAAAGGGAATTTCCACACTCTTTAAAACAACATTTCCAGATCAAATATTAAAATTACAAAGACTTTAAAATAAATCGAGGACCTTTTTTTTTTTTTTTTTTTTTTTTTTTTTTTGGTTTACGGTTGGAAGACGTCTATAAAGCAAGAGATAAAGGAAAATTCTAGTGAACCAAAGTTATCTTTTGAGTTTTAATCACTGTGCCTAAGAGAGCCATAAAACAAAAATGCCTCTAACCTGTAAGCCCCTGGCCCAAGCACCAATACTTCCCAAGATGCTGAAGGCTGTTCTTATAACCAAGTCACATATTTTCACTTCCCTAAACAAATGTGGTCGATCACCCATCTGCCCCGGGAGTACTTTATCACATTGAGGTGGGAGGTACGTAGATTGTACCTCAGGAAGTACATCAGGATGTATGCTTGCGCCTGATTGGACGAAGGTGGAAGTATGTAGTCTTGTAGGTTTGCCTTTATAAGAACCTGGTCATTTTCTGGGAACCTTGGAAGGCCTAGCCAGGGGCCATCATCCTGGCCAATATTTAGTTAAAGTTTGCTTCAAATTTGCCTCAAAAATTGTGGTAGTCCTCTTGTCCAACAGTGGAATTACCCCAGCTTAGTGGTACAAGCCTGTAGTCCTTACACTGTGGAGGCAGGAGATGGAGGATTAACAGGATTGTTTAGTCTGGGCTATGTTAGTGAGAAAAACCCAGCAGCTGGGACTGGAGAAATGGGTCAGTGGTTTAGAGCCTTCCCTCCTTGTCCACAGGACCTGCGTGGGATTCCCAGCACTCATGTGGGGTGGCCCACAACTGCTGTTAACTCCAACACCAGGTGATTTGATGCCCTCTTCTGGTCTCCTCAGGTACTCAGAGATACATGAGACGTGCACTCATGTAGACACACACACACACACATACATACATACACACAGAGACACAAAGACACACATACACTCACATACACTCATACATATACACACTCACACATACAGACAGACACATACATATACAAACACATACACACAGATACACACATATACTCACACATACACATACAGACACATACATTCATACATACAGAGACACACAGACATACACACATATACTCATACATAAACACACTCATACATATACACACTCACACATACAAACACACAGACACACACATACAGACATACAGAGACACACACACATACACACATATACACTCATGCATACACACACACAGACACACAGACATACACACATACACTCATACATATACACACACATACAGATACACACATATGTACAGACACACACACAGAAATACACACATACACACAGAGACACACACACATACATACACACACACATACACTCATACATATACACACATACAGACACAGAGAAACACAGACATACACACATACGCTCATACATACACACACTCGTACATATACACACTCACACATACAGACACAAACACATAAGTACAGACACATACACACACACACTTACACACATATTATACACTCACATATACTCATACACACATACATACATACAGACACACATAGATACAAACACATACATAGACATACACACATACATGCACACACAGACACACATATACAGTCATGACACACACACATACACACATAAACATACATATACACACTCATACACACTCACACATACAGGTACACACAGATACACACACACACATATACACTCATATATACACATACACACATACATACAAACACACAGAGATACACACATACACATACAGACACACACACACACACATACATACACACAGAGACACACAGACATACATACACACACCTCACCACCCACCAAACACACAGAGACACACATCACAGCCCAGACACACACATACTCACAAGGAAAAAACAACACACACTTACACACATATATACACTCATATATACACATACACACATACGTACAAACATACAGACACACACATACACACTCATAATACACATACACACATACATACAAACACAAAGTGATACACACACACATATACATACAGACACACACAACACATAGATACAAACATACATAGACATACACACATACATGCACACACGCAGACACACACACAGACACACTCACAATCACACAGATGGCTGAGGATCAAACTCAGTAATAGCATGTTTGTTCTTTGGAGATTTTTCATACATTGTTTTCCCTACATGTGAAAATCTCATATAAAGCACATACACATATGTCCTTTGTACATACGCATGTACATGCGTCTGTGCTTACGTGTTGATTTGTTGGGCTGTGGTGGTTGGAGGAAGGAATGCCTCCCTTCAGCTCGGGTCTTGGTCTCCAGGTGATGACCGTGTGGGGGAGGAGCTACAGCTTCCCTGGAGGAAGCCCCTCGCTGGGGGTGGGCTTCCTGAGGGTCCGAAGCCTCAAGTCACCGTTGATGCTCCCAGCTTCCTTCCTGTCAGCTGAGGTATGACCTCTCATTTCCCTGCCCCTGCCGCCTTGCCTCCCTACCACAATGGACTCATATTTCACAGAAACCACAAGCTCAAATAATCCCTTTCTTCCTTAAACTGTCTTTTGTAGTGAGAAACATTGTCCGCATTTGTGGTACTGACCACGCCCATTGGGGGGTGGAGACAGGGGTGGAAGTGACCTGGGGAACTAGGTCTGAGGAGGGCCCGGAGTGCTCTCTTACTAGCAGCTCTGGGACGGATAGGAGAGCATCCGGAGGCATCCTTGGGACCAGGAACCTGCTGGTGTTCATCTGTCTATGTTGTGAGTTATTTCTCCCTGAATAAACATCTATAAAGCTCTCCTGATCCTTATTAAATCATGATAGTCTTTAGTCATGGAGTTTTATCATAGCAACAAAAAAGTAACAAATACACAGGCTAGCCCAGATTCGAGGAGTCATTCACATCACCTTTGGGGCTGGCAAGACAGTTCAGCCAGTAAAAGCACTTGCTACTCAAGTTTGATCAGATGAGTTAGGAGTTAGATGTCCATGTGCATGTACACACACACACACACACACACACACACACACACACACACACACTATAAAAATAAACTGCTTGGTCAGTGTGGTTGCAAAGAATTTGTGACAACTTCTTCTTCCTCCTCCTCCTTCCTTCTTCTTCGTCATCGTCTTCTTCTTTTCTGAGACAGGGTTTCTCTGCATTGTTTTGGAGCCTGTTCTGAAACTCGCTCTGTAGGCCAGGCTGGCCTCAAACTCACACAAATTCTCCTTCTTCTGCCTCCTTAGTGGGCGTGCGCCACCAATGCAAGGCTCTGTGGCAATTTCTAATCCTCCATGACCACTAGTGACCAAAATCTTTTCTTTAAAACTTAGCTTGTACTGACTTTTAGTAAGTATGTGTTATGTGTTGTGTGTTATGATAAAGTGAGAAGGGAACCTTGACAGGCGAGGGTGACCGAGGCAGAGGGACAAACGTGCCAGGCACACAGAGCTTAGTGAGGAGTTTTATTAGAAAGGGGAGGGAGGAGGGAAAGAGAAAGAGGTGAAGAGACACAGGCAGAGAGAGGACAGAAGAGAAGAGGGAGACAGGAAAGTCCTGTCTGCCCCAGGGGAACAGCAGGAAAGAGAGAGGGAGGGAAGGAAAGCATAAGTTGGGGGGGGAGTGTCTTTCTTTTAAAGGGGTCCTTTGTACCTGTCTGTAGACTTGTAGCCATGGAACTCTGGGCTGACCAGGGGACTGCCTGAGTGCTTTCTGCTGGGTGACAGGGGCAGGCCAGGGTTCCATGGCTACTAGTCTGCATGCAGGTGCAGTATTAAATATGTACTTGAAGATACCTTAGCAATGTCAAACTATACCATTCCTTGCACTCTGGCAACATCATTGGTATATAACCTAATGTAATCATCTTACGTTTACGGTAACACAAATCAGAATTAAGCTGATAAGAGATGCCCTGGGCCTGACGTCACAGGCCTATAACACCAGCTTCTTGGGAAAGCTGAAGCAAGAGGGTCAGAAGTTCGGGGGTAGCTTGGGCTGCCTGATGAGTTTAAGGCCAGCCTGAGCAATATAGTGAGAGCCTGTCTTCAAAATCAAAAATAGAAAGAGCTGAAAATGTAGATCGATGATAGAATATTGCCTAGCATATACAAGGCTCCATCCCCAGGGCCACCTAATAAGTAAAAACAAACAAACAAACAAATAAATAAATGCTGGGGCTGGAGAGATGCATCAGTGTCTAGGAATGCTGCTCGTGGCTCCCTGTAGTGGTGTTGCATACCTTCAACCTAAGAACTCCAGATGCAGAGGACCTCTGTGC